CACCCATCTATCCACCAATCCTCTTCCACCCATCTATCCACCAATCCACCCTCCACCCATCCTCATCCACCCACCAACCCCCCCTCCACCCATCCTCTTCCACCCATCTATCCACCAATCCACCCTCCACCCATCCTCATCCACCCACCAACCCCCCCTCCACCCATCCTCTTCCACCCATCCATCCACCAATCCATCCTCATCCACCCACCCATCCATCAATCCATCCACCAATCCATCCTCATCCACCCATCTATCCACCAATCCATCCACCAATCCATCCTCATCCACCCATCCATTCACCAATCCATCCTCATCCACCCATCCATCCTCATCCGGTATGTTGTTCAAACTCAAATAAATGTAGACCCAAGCTGGGGGGTTCAGTGTAGCACTCAGTGTTTTGTCTGTACGTAGAGAAATAGTTGGAATAAATTAAAACAGAATAACACCAAAATAAATTTTTCAATATCCTACCACTAGAAGGCTTGTTTTACTCGGCCTACCTGACGATGGCGCTTCCTCCTGTAAGACCCAGAGACTTAAGAGTGGTTTTCTTTAAGGCTTCCTCTCCACTCACCTACAAACATATGGACAAGCATCTGTGTTTCTATAAAACTCACTTTCATCTCTTCAGAAAGGGAGAGTTAAAGGGAGGCTTCATACCTCGTCTCTCATGTAAACACAGGCAGGAGTGGCTCCAGATTCGGACAGGTCCGACACACTGGAAGGAAGCAGGGACAGCTGGAGTAAAGACAAGCTAAAACTGTGGGTGAGCAATAATAATTCTCTTTAAACATCACAACATTTTATCCTTTTAAAGAGAGGGATTGCAATAAAGCCTCATGTGATGCCGTGCAACTCTGCATGTGTAAACCACGTGGGCACAATGCCGTCAGGAAACTAACAGAGCCATAAATGTTTTACTATTGTTCCCCTAAATTCCCCCAAAACCAAAGCCTACCCTTATGCCTCTCATCACTTTCTGTTGGGGTGCAACTAATACTCATTTCGTGGAAGCATAACACTTTTGGCAAAGGATCAGGATATGCAGTGATGTTATTTAATAGAGATGAAATGCAGGCTGGTGGACTGCAGGAGCACCTGGGATTGTACAGCTGGAACTACTGAGTAACAGCTGCATGAGTGTGTGAAAGGTGAGTGATGATGTGTGGGAAGGCTTCGACGGGGAAGGCGGATGTTGCTTTCGTCTGCGCTCATTTTTCATGCAGCAGCTGAAATCTGCAGAACATAAGATGTATATTCGCTTTATGCGACATCGCAGAAACATCTTTAACACTCCGCCTGTTCTTAGTCACTGATGATCCAGTTTTAAAGTATTTTAGTTCTTGTTTTTTTAAAGATAACTGTAATGTTGCCTGTTTTTAAAAGGACATGCTTGCATCTTATTTTATAAATGGTCAAAATATTTCTGAAGAGATGTAAATAAACATCTTTCTGTTTACTTAAGAAAAGTTCACACTGTCCTCCATCAATAGATGATGACTTTTGCTTCCTTCTCCTGGGTTCAGTAGGAGGACCAGACATCCCTCTCCCCAGCCACTTGGGCTAGCTCCTCCTGGGGAATCCCAAGGCATTCTCAGGCCAGCCAAGAAACTTAGTTCCTCCAGAGTGTCCTGGGTCTCCCGCTGGGTATCCTCCCGGTGGGACATGCCTGGAACACCTCACTAGGGAGATGTCCAGGAGTCATCCTAATCAGATGCCCGAGCCACCTCAACTGGTTCTTCTTGACGTGGAGGTGAAGCAGTTCTACTCTGAATCCTCCCCAAATGACTGAGATCCTCACCCTATCTCTAAGGGAGAGCCCAGACGCACTACGGAGAAAACCCATTTCGCCAGCTTGTATCCGGGATCTCGTTCTTCTGGTCATGACCCAAAACTCATGAAGATAGATGAGATTAGGAACGTAGATCAACCGGTAAATCGAGAGCTTTGCTTTTTGGCTCAGGTCTCTCTTTATCATAACAGACCGGTACAGCGCACGATTCACAGCTTCACACCAATCAGCCTGTCCATCTTCTTATTCGTAAAAAAGACCCCAAGATACTTAAACTCCTCCACTAGGGGCAGTACATCCTCCCCAACCCAGAGAAGGCACTCTATCCTTTTCCGGCTCAAGACCATGGTCTCGGATATGGAGGCATTGATCCTCATCCCGGCCGCTTCACACTCGGCTGCGAACCGCTCCAGTGAGAGCTGTAGATCACGCCCTGATTAAGACAATAGAACCACATCATCTGCGAATAACTGAGACGCAATCCTAAGGCCACCAAAACAGATCCCCTCAACACCTTGGATGCGCCTAGAAATTCTGTCCATAAAAGTTATGAACAGAATCGGTGACAAAGGGCAACCTTGGCAGAGTCCAACCCTCACCGGAAACAAGTTGGACTTACTAGTGGCAATGCGGACCAGGCTCTGACACCGGTCATACAGAGACCTAACAGCCCTTATTAAAGGGCCTGGTACTCCATATTCCCGGAGTACCCCCCACAGAAACCCCCGAAGGACACGGTCGAATGCTTTTTTCAGATCCAAAACACATGTAGACTAGTTGGGCAAACTCCCATGAACCTCCAGGATCCTGCTGAGGGTGTCGAGATGATCCACCACAGCCAGGACAAAAAACACTGTTCCTCCTGAATCTGAGATTCGACTGTCCGACAGACCCTCCTATCCAGAACCCCGGAATAGACCTTACCAGGGAGGCTTAAGTGTGTGATTCTTCTGTACATGGAACATACCCTCCGGTCCCCTTTTTTATATGGGGTGACCACCACCCCAGTCTGCCAATCCAAGGAAACTGCTCCTGATGTCCACTCAATGTTGCTGAGTCATATTAACCAACACAGCCCCACAACTTCCAGAGCCTTAAGGTACACAGAGCAAATCTCATTCACCCCTGAGGCCTTGCAACTGAGAAGCTTTTTAACCACCTCAGTGACCCCAGCATAGCTGTACACCCTCTTAAACTACTACTTTGTACTTTTTGACCCAATTTTAGCCATTAGTTTATGGTGGGGGTCCTTCATCCAAGATTTTGACTGTAATATTTTCTCGCTTTGCCTTTTAAAAGTTCTCCAAGACTTTCAGAACACGAATAGATCTGTGCTCCACCTTGCTGAAGATGTTGAGGGGAACCAAACACATTCAGTAAAAATCAAGATCAGATCCCTGGTGATCTTAATAGTCGACTGAAATAGTCTACAACAGAATCTGAAACAACCCACTTTGATCTCTGGGAATATATAAGTGTCTTTTGAGAAAAAAAGATAAATCGTCTTACTGTTTGTTACTGTGTTTGTGCACTTATTTTTTTGTGGTTTTTCTTTTCTCAACTTCACTTCAGCTTCGAATGATCAACTTTTACTATGGAACATTTAAAATTAATTTCAATTGATTACTTTTGATCTAATTTATATACATATGATTCATTTTGAAATTCTGTAATAATTTATACATTTCCCTGTTTGTAATTAAAATTGAGTTTATCATCACCTAATTTTAACCCAAACTCATTGATCAAACCACTGCTAAAGTAGTTCAATCCCAATCACTGTGCACTACAGAGATGTGCAACACACACCTGATCTGAGGAAAATGAGTAATCAGTTCCCACAGGCTCTGTCCAGAGGAGAAGGAGTGCTGGAGCCGAGATCCATCCTCCATCTGGAGCGCGATCCGCACCTGACGGGCGATTAACCACAGGAACACACAAGAGGAGTTTAGAGCTGCGTCAGAGAGCCATAAAACTAAACAGACAAACATGATGTAGGAATAACTAGCACTCATAAATGATCAGCATCAGTACATCCACAATAAACTTCAAAAGCAAAAAGAAAATACCAGAACGCTGCTATGGCTCTAAAGCAGCCAACAGAAAACACTTTGAAGTGCGTTCCTTTGACTTTTTCAGCAATGAAAAAAGGCTTAAAATAATGTTATATATCTTTAAACCTTAACAATCTCACATTGATAAAATCTAGGGAAAAGTTATTGGCTATTTAACCTAGAGCCATTATTTCAGGGAGAATAAACTCTTTGATAATCCAACTTGTTTAAGGCGCACATGTGGGCCTCCATCAGCATGAAAATGAGTAACACACCAGGCAACGGTGTGAGGCTGATGTTCTTTGTCTCTGAGTCACACTACGACTTGTTTATGTTTACTCAACAATGCTGTTGTCCAGCACAGAAAGAGCGCCAAACATCGGCACGCCGGGGGAGATGAAAAGAGAAAGTTGGCCGTCAACCACCAACACTAACACACACCAGCCTGCCTGAGGTGAGTGGACATGTGAATATATATAAAAAACAGTGAGGGCTCCACAAGTCATGAGTTTTATAGCTCAGATTATCAGGCTATGATGTAATAGGAAAGTACAGCTCAGCTACAACAAAGCATGTTGCTTTGGAAAAAAGTGAGAGTGGATAGAAAATTGTGAATGTACAAATACCTACGCTGAACTCACCCACTAAGATGAAATAAAGGGTTAAATAAAATCAGAGATTTAAAGGTGTTGAGGGATGCGCCTGTTGATTATTTCAGCAATCGATTAACCTATTAATTATTTCTTTAATCAACAATCCATACATACATACATCATTCATTCTTTAATGGAAAAATTGTCAATATTTTATGCTGCAAGTAGATTATTATTTAAGCAAATGGCATGTTTTAGATTCTGTGTACCATTGCTCAAGGTAACGATTCAATTACCAAATTAGTTGACTATTACTTCAATAATAAATTAATCAGAATGAACCGTTTCATGTCTAAACATGTTTATCAACAAGATATAAATACGACAGGGTTACTGAACTTTTTATAATTGGACAACTACACACTTTTCCTGAACTATTTTCAAGCAGACAAATGGATGGATGGAAGGACAGCCAAGATATCAATTAATAGATAAAGAAAAAATTCACAAAAAATAAAACAAGGATTTTTTAAACTACTTTTAAAAGACTCATCCCAAGCCAGTAACTAAAGACCAATTTCAATTTCTCGATTCTTTTCAAATATTATAAAAAAAAAAGTGGTGTTGAACCAATTAACAAACTACCTCAAATAATATTTTTATCCAAAACAGTTTGGTTTTAGACCTAAATATTCAACAGAAATTGCTGCCTGTTACCAAACAGACATCGTCAAAAGACATCTGGATAATGGGATCGTGGTTTAAGCAATGTTTCTAGACATTCATAAAGACACTGTTAAAGGAATAGTACACCCAAAACATGATTAGCCTTCATTTTCTACTCACCCCCATGCTGAACAACACTCTGGAGTACTTTTTTG